CTTTTAAGAAGATAATTGACAGCATTAACAAATTAATTGATTTATTACAAATATTACGCTGTAGTTGGTTTTTGAAGATTGTTGTCACAGATTTCCAAGCATGCTGTCAAGAATTGTTTATTGTTATAAGTATGCAAAAAAGAAAGGAGCAGAAGGACCAACCTCTCACACAACAAGTAATTTAATTCATCTTTTGTTGGTTTTGTAATGATTTGTTGCTTTCAATCATATTTCTTTGTAATCAGATTGTTTCCTTTCCTCTTTTGTTTTCCAACTTTCCCTTAATTTAATTAAATGATATCAACCTTTAATTTCATGTTCAATTCTATTTCTGTTACTTTACATTTTATGCTACCAGTAGATTTTTCATGTTTTCAGTTTTATTTACTTTTATTTAATTTACTTTTTCTACAATTATATTTCCTTTTAGAGCTCTATTTCAACTCAATTTGTGTATTTAAGGTTCATTAAAATTTTTGGTGGTTCGGTGATCATTTATTTTCCTTGCAGTCTTAGTTTTTCTTGATGACATTAGTCTGGAAGAGTTCTTGGAATCATATCCAAGACATTTTGTTGTATAATCCATTTAATACAGGAAGTTCATCTTTCATTTTTGCCAATCGTCTGATCATTAAAGTGTAATTTATGACGTTCTTCCATCAATTTACAAATTAAGTTCCACGATTGAAAAGAAGAGAAGACCGTCGGAGAAATTTTTCTTATTTTGAGTAAAACAAGTGATATGCCATTTGATTTGTCAAGTGTGAAGAATATTTTTTAGGATATCAATATTATAGCTTAATTAATTAAAAAATTTTCCCTTCCCCACCATATCTCTCAATCCATTAAGTTAGTTTTTTCAAATTCTCCCATTGTGGACTTTTACCCACTTTAGGGATGAAGTAGTCTTTATATTCCTTTAAATTAACAAAACACAATAAGAAATACCATTCTCAGGAGGGAGGTAGCGTTCTACTGTCTATTTTATTATTTGCCAATTATCAATCACCTGCAACCATCGATAGCAATCTTGCTTAGAGTGAGCCTAATGACAAAATAGAAGAAAAAAAAGAAAAAAAACACTCTAGACTAGCAATTCTCATCAACAGCTTAAGAACATGGGCTCATGCAAAGGCTTTGCATGTTTACTAATTACAAAACAAAACTGCAGAAACATATCTACAAATTTCGGGGGAGGCCAAAAACGATCTACAACAAAAATAAGAAAAATCAAATTAACAATTGCTGCTTCCTTCACTCAAGTTTGACGGATGAGTAGCCTCACTGTCTGAACTAGATCCATCAGAACCAGCAGATTCACCTGGCTGTACACCAAGATCGTCGTGGCTGTTGCACTTTTTAATAAGATTTGTTCCCATTGTGCCCCCAGAAAGCGTGACCAAACTCATGGCAGCAATGCCATCGACAATACCATTAACATCCCTTGTTCCACTGTACAGAGCTCGGCTTCCAGCCACAAAGATACTTCTCTTGTCATCAGCATTGGTCAGAACGGCAGGCAATACATCTAGTAATGGAGGGGTTGTCTGGCTAGAGCTACTGATGAGCAACCGCAGAGTTTCTCTTGCACCACTTTCCACCACAGCATCGGTTTCAGGTAGCAATGGGTTAACCAGTTTAGGGTGCAATGGAGGAATAGTGGTTGAAATGGCAGGACCAGCACTCACCACCAGGTAACCTTGGCCTGACGAGCAAACATCAATGACTGGAATGTGAACAATCGGGTCACACATCAAAGGGGTGAAGGTCGGGATCTGCTCTGAATTTGCTGTCGGTAGGTGTACCAATGGATCTGGCAGTAATGCTGGGAAATCCAATGAGGAAGCATGGGCCAGATTTATGGATGGTGTGGGTTTCAAGAAACTTGAAGTACTGTTAACAGGCAATATAGAAGAAAGTGGGGGAAGTGGAAATGAGTTCACAGAGGAAGCGGGAAATTCAGGCAATGCAGTTGAGTGTTGGAGACTAGATGACCCTGGGGGACACCAACAATAGTAAGGAGAAAAAAGAGGTGGTCCTATAGAGGAAAGCTGAGAGGTAGGACCAAGACTTGGTGGTAGAGCAAATTTCCCCAGTGATTCCAAAATATCTGGTGCGAGTGGACAACTTTTGACATCTGGAAGCTTGTTATTCTCAGCTTGATTGCTACTACATGAATCCGTAGTGCTTGGTGAAGAAATGGTAACGTTATCAGATACTGAAAGATGGCTTTCCCCATGCTTCAGTAACTTATCCCTCGCAGCACTCCTTAAGGAAGACAAGTTTCTAAATGGACCCTCTTTGAAAGAACTTGTTCTTGGACTTAGGGAATTAGCCTTGAGTGCTTGACTGCTAGATTGCTGAGATCTCAAAGATTTGGATATGGATGAAGATTGTGCAGCTTGCACATCTGCAGAATCAGATGCAGTCTCAGGTGAAGACAATGGTGATCCTGACAGACTTGCCTGTGTGATACTCACTGTTGTTCCTACAAGATAAGCACGAAGCAGAGTTGCAAAGCAACCAAGACGTGACTCACTGATTCCAGTTAATTCAGCAATAGATGGTTTCCTCTTGATTAAACCCTTCATCTATCACGAGAGAAAGAGAAAGAGATAACAGAGATTAGCTGCAAACCCCATGGCAGTACAGGCAATACATGTAAATCTGTGCGAGAATGCATGCAGAATTCAACAGGCAATCAACTCAAAACTTCAAAACAATTTTCTGCCTCAAAACACTCAATCTATTGAAAAATTTTCCTTAAACTATCAGCAACATGAACAGATAAATGTTGTGCAATCAGGCACAAAGCTGGGTATCAGTCTCACTTAATAGCAGTACATGAGTATGGTTATTTGCATGTTCACGTGATCATTCCTTGGCACACACAGGAAAGCTCATTACCAAAGAAACAATGTGTACCTTTGAGAGCAATTCAGTTCCTAAAAGCTTTGACTTCTCTGAGCACCAGTAGTAAAACATTTTCCCATCTGGCACCTTCACATGGAAGGATCGTCCAGAATTGTCTGCTGGGATGTCAGTAATTGCAACAGCAGCACACTGGGATTTGCTACTTAAGGTAAACAGCCTCTCTGTCTGACCATCATCCCCAATAAATGAGAGGCGCAAATCAGATGTTGGCAAGAGCATAAGACTTAAATTTCCCCTGTGGCAATTTAGAAAAGAGAATAAAAATATTTTAGGTGGGGTAAAAGGGGGGACAAAAATGAGATCTAAAACTTAACAGCACAATTGTGAAGGTAAACAGTCTCTCTCTCTCTCTCTCTCCCTCTCTCTCTTTCTCTTGTGTTTGGCAGGAGGTGGGGGGCTACGCATGAATGAAGCACTATCTATTCATCATTCAGTCTTCATTCTTCAACCTAACAAACATGGCCAATAAAACATGTGCAGACAAATGCTTCCCTTTCATCTTCTTGTGTTCACTTGTTTATTGGTTTATTTTTTTCTAGCACTAGCAGTGACAACTTAACAACAAACCTATTGTTAAACAGATAAGATGGCAAACAAGTAAACTAAAGATAAACATCTATGTCAATTTGTATGATAAACATCTATGTCAATTCGTAATAGATCCCCGTTTCAGAATTTAATAAAATTCAGATTAGAGAGCAAAATGTTTAACCAAAACAAAGAATATCATCACATAAGAAGAAGACAAGTATAAAAACAACAAAGAAAGAAAATAAGCATTTCAAATTCAATGCATCTTTTAATGGCAAATAAAGAAAAGAAAAGAAAAGAAAAGACTGCCTAAGATTAACTAAGCATCACAATCAAAACAATGGCATGTATTTAATTTAATACTCAATCCCACCAGTGTATCAAATAAAGCAGCGCCAAACAATATAATATAGGAGATGAAACTACCTTTACTTCCTCTTAATTCAGAGTTCATAATAGAATACGCCCACTTTACCTACAAGTAAAAAGATATATTTATTTGGAAGCATGAACATTATCACCAACAAAACAAGCTAAAATAGAATCCTGCAATGTCTACAATCATCAACTGCTAAACATACTCTTTTCAAAGACATTATGTAGGTAAACCTGATGAAAAAACCTCTTTTTTTGAAATCAAGTTATGCCATCTGAAAAACTTTACTGTGTTTGGCATGCATTTTGGGAGTGGAATGTTGGCCGAAAAGTTTTCCAAAAGGCGATACTTTCCTCGGGAAGTTGCAACTTTTCTTCAACCAAACAGCGCCTTACATTTTAGAGAACATTCAATGTAATTAATAAGTAAATGCTTGAGTTTGTGAATCAAATAACTGAAACAGTTCATTAATTTAAGACTGATAGGCAATCCAGAGAAAGAGAAACAATACTTCAATTGTAACTTAAGGTTTCTTATCAGACACTTTCTGTAATATGAACCAGAGAGGATCAATTAGCACTTTCCTTGTTCATGACATACAGACATAGCTTAGATCAACTTCAGAAAGGCAAAGTAAGAACCAAGAAGGCAATCTAAACCTCAGTTTCAGTACATATAAGCATATGAAAAAGACATGCCACAACTTACAGGTAACCAACATGGGTGATACAGTTCGAAAGACCACAACATTTCTAAATCAAGTATATATTTTTTTTCATACCAGCTGCCTGTATGGATATTGAAGGCCTTATTATATTATATTAAGCAATCAATTATAATTACATAGCTGCAAAAAAGCACCAGGTCATTGCGGATATTATATAAGACATGTCAAATTGAGTAATAAAGATAATGTCATTCCATAATCCAAGGCAACTTTTGCAAATCAAACAATCAAAGATGGAAAGCCCAAACAAATTATAAGGTCATGGCAACAAAGTTAATCTAGAAAGCTCTGAAGAGGCAAATAAGCAGCTGGGATATATCCAGCTGAAGTGCAGAACATACTTAACTGTTGTATGTCATTTTTGTGCCCATTAAAGGTTATAAGCAAAGCAAGTGTTTCACCTAGTTCATATTAACAAAATATTCACACAAGCTAGTATGACATTGATATTCTTGAACCCGCTGGGGTTTGACAAACAGTAAGAGTGATGCGAACAATACTTGAAGCAAAAGTTCAAATCCCCCCATCACCACATTGGTAAACAAACAATTTCAACAGGCCGTGCCTACCACACTCGGAGTGGAGTTTAGCTCCGTGCATGTGGAGGTGTGGTGGTACTTGTGGGGCTAAAGGTGTAGAATCCATGATATCAAAACGAAACCATTGATATTACCTTGTAGTAGTTGGGCAAAGGAGAGTGCCTTGCTTGCTGACCTTCCCAACACGAATCGAAACCAGAGGTATGCAGAAGCACCTGGCTAGCATCCCGACTTCAGACGGATCGAAGTGCTGTAATCAAAGAAATCAGAATAGTCATCAGCCAAACTACAAATAGAAAATAAATCCAATAGTAGCTACTGTCTATCCAAACTAGTCATGATTTGTAATATTTGTAATATCTATTACAAATTAATGGCATAAACCTGTAGCACCCCCAA